CTGATATATAGAAATTTGTTTGAACTCTGCTTAGATCAATCTGTTATTTTTACGCAGTCACAATCGGAGAAGAGTCGAGGCAGGGTCATAAATTTAGTCGGAGCTTGGTGGAAAAATTACTCACGGCATCGTTTGAAAAAATTCTTCGGTGCATTGATTTAATAGCGTCAAACTCAGTCGAAACGTTTTTTGCAGTCATTTTTCCTCGGTCACATCAGTCGTGATTAGCTTTTTTCGGTCGCGCTGGTCGTGGTTTATTTTCTTTCGGTCGTGCCGGCCGCCGCTAACGTTACTTTGGTCGCGCCGGTCGCGGACACATTGTCTTGGTCTGCAAACTGTGGAAATACTAAATTTTGGTCACCATGGTCTGGAAATACCAAAATTCATCGCAACTGTTTGATCATATAAAAAAAACTTTTGACCCATCCCAAGCTCAGTTTGCTTAAACGCAAAACAAAATGGAAAATTTTTAAGGTTCTACTAGACGTTAAAAAGCAGCTAGAACATTTGAGGTTTCCAGCTGATACAAGTAAATTTGTTGTTCCGACGTTCGAAGAAAGCAGAAAAAATATGATTAGGGTGGTTTGTTTCTACAATTATTCAGATTAACTTCAGAAGGACAGTTGGAAAATCATAACCGAAAATTTGGTATTGACCCATTCGGGTTTTCAAAACCGGGAGTTTCTTAATATTTGTTTTGCAGTCCAAAATTTTGGTTAATCAAAATTAAATTATAGAAAATTTATTCGAGACCAGCTAAGGGCAATGGGAAGATTTATGGCTTTGCCCTCGATAAGCGAGGAGTCTTTTTTTGCATTATGTATTTAATTACTTTCGATGAAGCAATTCTTTTTTCATTGTTGACTTTAAACAAAATTATCAATCTGACACTATTGCAACTAAATTTATGAAAAATCAGTAATTTACAATCCTATTGGTCTTTTACAAGATCAGCTTTGAAAAACTGACAATGTTTCCATTTTTAGATTGTTTTCAATCAATTTTCACTTTTGCAATGGAGAAAAAACTAATTTCACGAGAAATAATGATCAATTGACCCATTTTTTGAGAAAAAAAAACAAATATTTACGCTAGGATTTTTTTTTGTTTAGTCAATTTTCCCATTTTTTGGGAAAATTTCCCATTTTTTGGCTAAAAACTTTTGACAACTTTTTTATTCTATCTGTAATTTTTTTTTTAATTTCACTTGTGATCATTTTTTGTGAAAATATTGCCTATTTTGTCAATTAGGGATAACTAACACGCGATATATATTTCTTTCTTAGTGAAGCGTAAGCAGCGCATTATTGAGTTCCAAATTGAATGAGGTTTCTAAACGGTAACTCTTGGTAGTTTGCACATGTGCGATGATAAATTGAAGAAATAACTTGAAAAAAAATTGTCGATTTATTTATCCATTTTTCACCACAAAATTTTTAAATTTGCTTTGAAGGGCAGTCGCAAGATTCAAAGTTTTGCCTTGATATACGAGTAATCCTGCTAAAACGTTACTACAGGCTAAGTAAATCACTTTGTAATTCGCATAGCATATGATGATTCCAAATAATTTGAAAAAAAAAAACCTTTTTTTTCTGAAAAAATGTGCGATGAGTCCAGTCATTCCGATTTAAATGTTACTACTTAAAAATATATATAAAAATCTGTTTGGTTTGATGTGTTCAAGGAAAAATTGAAGAAAAAATGTTTGACAAAATTTTTAAAAAGTAAGCTACCAGAGATAGCTAAGATGGTAGACCAAATAATCAGGTCTTGTTAGGTTTGATGTCCCAAGAATTGGGTCAGCCGCGCTATTTTACATGCAGAAACACTTCATACTGCAAATCGGGTGTGTCTGATCACCGCTGGAGATGCAAAGAGATTCGAATTCAAAGGATTGGCAACATGACAATTTTTTCAAATTGGCGTTTTTGAATTCGAAAGATACAAATTGAAAAAGTTTTGAAGATTTATCCTAGAATCAAAAACTTAGAAGGCTTTCAATGGTGTCTCTTAGAACTGAATATAACAAAATTACTAGTAGGTCATCTCAAAGTTGAAGTTCGAGTAATTATGGGGTATAAAGGAACAAAAAACACGGAATTTGACTCCACGTTTGAGCACATTTAACAGTTATTTGATACTCAAAATATAGTATCGTTATGATTACACTGATTCACAAACTGGAGAAAAGAAAAGTAAATAATCATGGCTGATCAAAAATTGATCCAATAACTGTAACTGCTATGGCATTGTATAACAAATGATCCAAAAACTCAATTAATGTTAATTAAAGATCAAGCAAAACAGCTTAATCAAGTTTTACTATATCATCTGAAAATATGCGTGTAGTAAAACGAAAACATCTGAAAAAGCACGAGCAGTTGTGTTCAATTTTTCAAAATACAAATATGAAAGTGTGCCGGCGGAACAGTTAAAGAGAAGGTCTCACAACGCAAAAGATCAATGTTGTTTTTAATGATTTTCATATGATGTTGGCTCTCAACTGAAAGAAAATAATAGTTAAACACAACTGAAGTTTTGATACAAGTATACCAATTTTTACATCGAATTTGTAATCTGAGACAAAAACATTAACTTCTCACCGAACACTTGCGTCAACTTCAACCTTCAACATAAATTGTTTTCAGAGTAATTTTTTCAATTGATAACTTCCATAGCTGTTTTTTTTTTGTGAATAGTTGCAAACATGGGAGAACATGGCAAAAGCGAAACAATGAAATTTTATTTTCAAACAATGCCATACAAAAAGTTAAGAAATTTTTCCTGACAAGCAAACCGAAACACTGCTCCAGTTTGAAATTCTAAACTAACTTTACGTGAGAACCACGCAATATTTTGTCAGATTTAATTATCTTTTTCTCAAAACCGAGCTTTTTAGGACAAAAGTATTTTCTTTGAAGACGGCTGGTTCTTATGATTTCTCTGTTACTAGTAACATTAAGTGCTCATGATTTCAAATCTGCTCAATGTGCAGTTCAAAAATTGATATATTTCCTTTAACCTTGAATTAAAATTTTACTTTAGATGACCCCAATGACAGAAAAAACTAGTGAAATTTGGCTTTTTCAAATTCTTTTGCGGGAAAAACGGAAACCAGTTAACAAAAATTGCTACGAGCCTAAAAATTACAATAGATATTTGAATTGAAGATGCGCTGATGATAGCCCAGGTCGAGGTCCCAGACTCAGGTCCAGACTTTGAGGGTCGTGCCGCATCCGGATTTAGACCCAAATTGCATAGTTGCGCCAAGCGTTTGAGTTTTGAATGTCTGGACATGAGTCTCCGTCTCGGTTTGGAAAGTCGCGCCGTCTGCACCTCGGTCGCGAAAAACTTGAAAGTGCACTTTTTGGTCGCGCTCGCCAGGCCGGTCGAGCCGTTGCTTTTTGAGTCGCGCCGTCTCCACATCGGTCGCGAAAGCCCTGAAAAACTTTTTTAAGTCACGCCGTCTCCATTTTGGTCTGAAAAGTCGCGCCGTCTCCATCTCGGTCTGGAAAGTCTGGAAATGGCTAACGTTAGTCGCGCCGGTCGCGCTTTTTCCTGAGCCACAGGGTCGCGCCGTATCCACTTCGGTCGCGAAAGTCGCACCTGAGTTTTTCGGTCGCGAAAGTCTGGAAATGGTAAATCTTGGTCGCGAATGTCTGGACATACCAAATATAAGTCGCGCTGTTTTAGCCGCACCACTTCCACTTCGGTCGCCAAAATCGCGACGGATCATCATGGTATCGAATGAAAGTCTGGAAATGCCAAGTTTTGGTCGCGAAACTCTGGAAATGCCTGATTTTGGTCTGGAAAGTCTGGACATGCCAAAAATTCGTCGCAAAAGTCTGGGCATGAGTCTGGGACCTCGACTCGGGTACTTTGCGAAATGTGTCAGTTAATCTGTGTGGATTTTAGTTTTGCTTGGGCAACTAAATAGCCCAGATCATTCTTGAAGCTTTGAAGCTGTTCTCCATAACCGTCTAGTGCCTGTCCTTGATTGGTTAGTTCACGAGATCTATTTCGATCTCCAATCTAACCGTTAAAAATGCGGGCAATAGAGAGTTCTGCTCAGATATCTGACAAAAATTTCCTATTTTTGTAGAACAAAGTTTGATTCGGCAAGCTTTTTTGCATGGGCATAAGGCAGGGAATGGTTTGTTGTTGAGGACGATTTTTGATCGTTCAGTTTTACGTGGTGAGGCTTGAATTAACATCAGCCATCGAACGTTACGATAAGTTATCGGATAAATTATTAAATAAATTAGGTTAATTAGATAACATAGGTATTAACAAGTTTATTTCAATAATGGATCACATGTGATTATTTTTGTGGTAAAATTTGTCAATAGGAATTCTAGTTGATAAAATAGGTTGAATGTTGTCCTTTATAACGAAATTTGCATGTTTCAAATCTCAAACTTAACCGTGTCAAAAAAATTTCAGTCAAAATTGATTAAATTGAAATAGCTGCAACCCAAATGCAGATCTCCCATAAACCAACTACACACCCGGGTTGACCAAAAATGCTTGTCATACAATTCTCATGAATAAGAAATTTCTTGTCATAAGTTCTATACAATTCCATAAGTACAGAAAATTGTATGAAATCTCTTATCTTTTATAACAAATCTTTTACCATAAATGGAAATTGTATGACTTACATTTTGCCATAAAAGGAAATTGTATGACGAAAAACGTGTCATTTATGAACCTTGTATGACAAACAGTTTTCGGATTTTTTTTTAAATGCGGCACAGAATACATTAAAGCACATCTAATAAGCCGTGCAATCTCTGAACAGAAAAGAAAACCTGAGAAAATTTTTTTTTTCGAAGTTGCAACCTCAGTTTTTTTATTTTCTACAGGAAATCTTCTCAACTCTTTAGATAGCAGCAGGGTCCTAATCTGCTCCTCAGGTGGCAATACTGGAGAGGGGTTTACCTCAAAAAAAATTTAAAAAACTTTTATATCTGCGAGAACTTTCTCCGGCAAACCTCATAAAGTTCGGTGGCACCGTGCTCACATTGTGACTCCACTAATGCATTTCCTCTAAAAAGAACATTATAAATCGTGCAAGAAAACGAAACCTTAGTTTTCCGAAAACAAAGCAATCAGTTTAGCCTTCATTCAATTTCCTTCCATATCCCTGAGCATAAAACAACAATCCAAAGCAAAAAAATTTGAAAAAAAGGACGAAAAAACAAATCATAAAATCAAGAGTTAGGCAGGAAAACGTCCCACTACCCATTATCTCCATTGAACCCACAACCTCAAGTTTGGAAGGCTATTTTTTGAGACAAATTTGACAAAGAATTTTAAAAAACGTTCGAAAAAATCAAAAACTTGACTATTCCGAAGGGCCATAGTTTTTGTGCAAAAAGGTTTGGACATCACTTATTTCCCCTTTTTGCAAGGAAACTGGGGTCATCGTGTAATTGCTAGTCATGAGCTGCTCCCCGCACATTGGCTCCGTTATAATTTCACAGCTATTCGCTCTTGTGACACTAAGCAAATAAACTATCAGTGACATTATCCATGATGGGGACATTCTAGTTTTCTGCTTATAATAATTAAGGACGACGAAGAGGAAGTCAACCTCGAAATGATTGACTAATATTACTAAGGACCAAAATAAAACCAACTTATGATAAAAAACGAGCTCGATTTTTTTAAACAAAACTTAGAGGTCCGAGAAAGATAATCCAAGATAACACGTTTGAAATAGTTGTGCAGCAACCTTATATTCAAACTTATATTTTTGACAAAAACGCTTTCTGGAAAAATCTAGTGTCTCTAATCAAAACGATTTGCATAGTTGAAAGTCGAAGGGTTCAGAATTTTTAAAAGTAATCGGTTTGAATGAAACAATATACGGATTGTGTTCAGATGATTAAAGGAGGGTCTCTGGTTTGAGAAGGGTGTCTTACAGTGCTGAAAATTATGCAACCTCAACTAATTCCCACTGGACCCTAATTGAGCACTCGGATAACATTCAATTCATTATAGAGTGTTTTTTAGATTCTCATGGATTATTGCAGACTGAGGTCTTCCCTAACAAACAGCGAAAAATATATGAAGTTCAATTTCCAAGATTTTACTACTTAAGTCACAAGTGAAGTTTTTTAAAAATTACGAAGCAAAGTGTATTGATAGGAATTATGTTTTGTTTCCCGCCTAAATTGCAAATAAAACTGCAACTTTTGGTGGCACTTCGAATTGGTAGGCTGCGGTAGCAGTTTAATATCATATGCGTTAAGAAGTTCGATTAGTAAAAAGTTAACACAGCTGATGCATTTTTAGTTCTTCAAATGAACCCAAAATTTTTTTTTGTTTCAAGCAGCAGTACAATGATGAATAGCTTGATTTCAGAAATTTTACAACTCAATGTATCTCGCAATTTTTCAAAATGCATAATTTTACATAATTTGGCTTTATGCTTTTCAATTTAAAACATTCAAAGTTCTGTCTGTTTGTATTTGGTGCTACGTTTGCTGCATCGAGTTGGCAATTTATTAGCATAAGTAGCTGCGTTATGTTTGGCTAGTTTTTGAGGATTTTAAGCATCCGTGGCTGAGTTATTTGTGCGTGAGATTCAAATGTGCTAGGTTTTAGATTCGAAATCGAAAAAAAAAAATTTTTGCTTACTCCAAGTTTGATACTACTTTTTCTTATTTCACTTGATAGAGCTGTTTTTTGGTCGTGTTCTGGCAATTGTTTGCAACGCGCAGCTTCGTATCGGTTTATTAACCTTACATTGATGTTTATAATGATTCTTAGGGGTATTCATTAAAAGCCTTCGGATTTTTGAGTTACTTTAATGTGATTTAAATTTGTAATGCTTATTGGAATATAAAGAAATAAATACACTGAAAAACATTAGACCCGTTGCCATAAAAGTCAATTGTAAGCTTTACTGTTTGAATTGGAGCCAAAGTGGCGGACGCCCCCCCCCCCCCCCCCCCCCCCCCCTCAGGGATTCGACCCCCCTCCCTAACCAAAGGGTCCTCCTTTTTACTATTTTGAAATATCCATTTTTGATTGACGGACCAAATAATTTTTCTAATTGCGCCTTTGGCGCCAAAATATACTAATTTTGAGCGGGGAGCGCCTACCAAAAAACGCAATTTTTTGGTCAAAAGTTGGCCTGTTTTTTCAAAAAATGGACTGCGGCGCAGAAAGTTTTGTCGAAATGCCGTCTTTATTTTGATTTCGGAGAAAATCATATTGGTCGGCCTTAAAAAAAGTCGACACAAGTGGTCATTTTTGTGGCAAATTCTGTCAGTAGGAATTTTAGTTTTAGTCTAGAATTTGAAAAAAAAAACAATATAATAGGTTGAAAGGTTTTTTTTTTAAAATGAGCTATACCATCAGGAAAATGTTTCAAATCTCAAACTTATCCGGGTCAAATGGAATTTCAGTCAAACTTGATTAAATTGAAATAGATCCAACTCAAATGCAGGTCTCCCACAAACCAACTATACAATTTTGATTCATGGCTCAACATTAGTTGTTGATTCAGAAAATAGGGCTAGCATTGATTATACTGTTCGCATGGAAACGTCCACTCAAAACTGTATGACTTCATGATGTGGCTACATCCGATCTTGGTTTCCTCGCACAGCTCTCGACAGGGGCCCAGGGTTCCATCCAAATCGGGCAGACAGACGGGGAAGTAGATGGAACAGAGGAAAATTTGTAGTTTGTCAGAGCATTGCAGTTGGACCAGTGGATAAAAGGTGTTGATTTCCAGACTCGCCTAGAACATAATCTTGCACTTTGTTTGAAAAAGTAAGCAGTCTTTTTGATGAAGCAGTTGGAACTGCGTATGACCAAATGATTTCCACCCAGCTAAGAGCATAATTCCACAAAGTGAGATTAATGAGCCCATTTGTTTCTGAAACTTCTCACTTCGGACCTGACCTGTGGGTGGAGCTGGGTTATAATCTATTGCAAATGGGTGATTTTGGCTAAGTTCAATTCAAAGAGGGGTCATTTACTCCTTTGAAAAACAAGACGGATGTTTGACTGAAATTGTTTTTCATACTTGTTCAATTTGCCCCATAATAGCTAAAGAAAATTAGAACACTCACCTCAGACGCGAGATTATGATTTTTTAGGTTAGGAAACTGAGTCATCGTGTAATTGCCAGCCGTGAACTGCTCCCCACACATTGGCTCCGTTATAAATTCACAGCTATTGGCTCTTGTGACAGTGAGCAAATAAACTATCAGTGACATTATCCATGGTGGAGACATTTTAGTTTTCTGCTTGTAATAATTAAGGACGACGAGGAGGAAATCAACCTCGAAATGATTGACTAATAATTTTCAGGACCAGAAGAAAACCTTCTTATGATAGGAAACGATCTGGAATTTGTACAAAACTTGGAGGTCCGAGACAGATAATCCAAGATAACTAGTATTTTCAATTACTTGCGCAGCAACCTTATATTCTTATTTCTAATTTTGACAAAAACACTTTCTCGAAAAATCGCGTGTTTCTAGTCAAAACGATTTAGATAGTTGAGAGCCGAAGGCTTCAGAAATTCTAAAAGTAATTGGCTTGAACGAAACAATATACGGATTGCGTTCAGATGATTAAAAGTGTGTCTCTGGTTTGAGAAGGGTGTCTTACAGGTGCTATAAGTTGTGGAAGCTCAACTTATTCACAGTGGACCCTAATTGAGCTTTCGAAAACCATTCACTTCATTCTAGAGTGTTTTTTCAGATTCTGATGGATAATTGCACACTGGGGCCGTCCCTATTAAACAGTGAAAAAAAATCAATCGTAAAATTTTCGAAGTTCAATTTCAAAGATTTTACTATTTAAGTCATTTTTAAATTTTTTAATTATTACACTTGCGACGCAAAGTGTATTAGTACGAACTTGATTAGTACGAACCCAAATCGCAAAAAAAGTGATGCGGTAGCAGTATAATATCATGTGCTTTGACATTTGATATGTAAAAAATTAACTCATTTTTAATTCATCGAATGAACCAAAAAAAAATGTGTGTTTCAAACAGCAGTAGAATGATAATAAAGCTCTCCCAACTTTTTAAAATGCATAATTTATACATAATTGGCAATATGCTTTTCAATTTATTAGATTCAAATCTGTCTGTTTGTATTTGGTGCTACGTTGGCTATATCGAGTTGGCAATTTATTAGCATAGGTAGCTGCGTTATTGATGGCTAGTTTTTGAAGATTTTAAGCATCCGTGGCTGAGTTATTAGTGCGTGAGACTCAAATGTGCTAGGTTTTAGATTCGAATTCGACACATAACTGAGTTTTTGCTTATTCGAAGTTTATTTCTACTTTTTCTTATTTCACTTGATAGAGCTGCTTTCTGGTCGTGTTCTGGTCGCTTCGCATCTGTTTAATAACCTTAAATTGATGCTTATATTGATTCCTAGGTGCATTCAATAAAAACCTTCGGATTTTTTGAGTTAGCTTAAATTGAAAAACTTTGAATTTTTTTTGAAAATCCCCCCCTCGAGAAAATCCTAGATCCGCCCCTGAATTAAATAATTTCTAATGGCTTGAATCTTTTTCTCAAAAAGCTGGTTTCCTCGGCAAATGAACTCCGGCAACTCAACGAAAAGTCTGTTGAATAAATTTTTTTGCTCTACTCTTGTTCTAAGTAAACTAACTTTCAAAGTTTGACTTATGTTTGTCGCTGCCAACGGTTCACTGAGATTGATAGTCAATTTTCGTGTTTCAATCAGCGCAGTAAATTGGATTTTTTTGCAGCAGTTTATCTATATGTATGTATGGTAAGAGTAGAACATAAATGGCGTTCAAATATGAAACAGCTGGTGAAACTGAATGAACCGATTGAATAACAGATTTAACAGATTTCTTAATTTCATCTGTAATTGTTTGCGAAATTTGAATTTGCATCACAATTCCATCACTGATAATCAGAAGCGGATCTAGAATTTTCTCAAGGGTATTTCTAAAACATGTTGTAAATTTTCGTCAATTATCCGATGGCCGATTTGGCCGATCGAACTGATTTTCCGATCTCTCTCAAAACAATAAATAGACTCTTTTTTTGCCATTTATTTTGAGTCGCAAGCCAACTTTTGGTGCCGAACGCAGCTTTGGAAAAGTTTCAGTGTGGATTGACCAAAAATACATGCGTTATTAAAATAACCAGAGGTAGGACCCTCTGGGCAGTCAGGGGAGGGTGGCGAAGATGCATTAAATTGATTTTCCCGGTTACTCAAAGCAAAACGACAACCATCATATAGCCTGTCTGCTCCCTTGTGAACTGTTAAGAAAGACACGAATGGTATTTGTCACTATTGTCGACTTGTTCAGCCGAGTAGGAGTAGAATCACAAGCAATTCCACTCACAAATTTATAATAGTATAGATAGATTTAATTTGAAGATAGATAGATTTATAAATATCTGAAAAGTGGATCGCGCGGATTTCTTAAAACCTTTGCTGAACTCGAAACTTAACACTTTTCTGAATTTTCTTAAACTCTGGTTGAATACCTTCGGTGGTTTTGACATATAATCTCAAAATGTTTTGTCTATAAAATTAAATATTTGAAAAAGTATGCAGACAATTCAGCCAGAGACAACTCAGCCAATAATAGTGACCGCCGCAGTCGCGCCAACGTGTCGCCAGCTTGCCAACAGAGGGTAGGACTCTATACAAAATTTAGAGTCGGTTATCGCCGCGAAGCGAGCCCACCGGCGACCTTAAACCGAGAAATAACTCCCATTCCGATTTATTCTTTCGAACCTAGCGTTTTGTAAAACTGGCTTAATTGTCTGTGTATTTTTGGCTGAATTGTCTGAATTTCAAATTGGCTGAATTATCTGTGACCGAATTGTCTGTGCGTCGAAATATTCGATGTTCAAATAACGCATCGTGCTATTTACCTTTCAATTTGTAAATTAAATTTTAAAATACTCAAAATCAAAAGCAAATTTTTTGAAGTTTTCATCTTAAGTTCAGTTGAAATTTGGTCCTCAATTCATTTATTATCAATCACTAACCGTAAATTACTGTTGTTCTACTTTCTGGCGTTTAAGTTGGCTTAAGTCGCGATTGCCGATCTGGACTATGGCGTCTGTGGTCCAGTTTCTCTGAATGCCGATAACGAAGTCCACCATAAGTTGAAGGAACGGAGGTACGAAATCAAGAGTAATCTGAGTCGGTCAGCAGGAAGAGCAAACGAAGAGACATGCAATCAAATTGAGTTCATATTTGTAACGAAAAGGTTCTGGTTGGAAATTGGTGTTGAAGATTTGAGGCTTGAAGAAAGGTCAGATTGTTGAGAATTACTTGGAAGCGGAGCCAGTTGTTGGATCCACCAAACACGCAGGAGGGGTGTTCCATCTTGGTCCAGCAGAAGAAGCAAAAAAAAAAATTTATGTCGAGCTCGTGGGTTCGCAGTTGGCGCTGTTGTAGTACTGTGAAGAGTCGGGCCCCTTTCAAGCTGAGTGTGGCTTGGATTTTGGCGCGACGCCCGAAGCCTAGTTTGTATAGGCTGAAGGCGATTGAGACAAAAATGCAGCGACTGGGACTTGTGGACGTGAACAAATTGATAACTGTTGAACAGTTTAATTGCAAGGGATAAATTTCGAAAAATTCGAAATCGAATTTATTCAAGACTGTCTTTTGTAGTAAGCTCCACCATGACAGCCCATTCACCCATATTGACCTAAAAACATCCCCTCTCCCTTCTATCAACGATTTTTCCTTTGTTTTTCGATATTAAAACATTCGTATTTGGCCAACCAACATTAAATATTTTCAATATATTTTGCCACTGATTTCGAGATAATTGCGCTTGTAATTCTTTATCTGACCTTGCATGTAACTCAATAGCGGATTTAGGGGAGGGGGGACGCTTTCTTTTCAGAGATTTGACACCCTGCCGACCCAAAAGGTCCCCTTTGTACTATTTTGAAATATCCATTTTTGGTGACGGACCCTAAAAATCTTCTAAAGGCGCCTTCGGAGCCAATATACAATAACTTTTAGGAGTGAGCGCGTTCGCGGAAAAAACGCAATTTTTTGGTCAACCTATTCCAAAAAGTGCCTAAAAACGCCTTTTTTTGGGCCTGTTTTTTCAAAATTGTTGCCTGCGGCGCAGAAACTTTGGCCAAAACAGAAACTTTTAAATGCTTTGGGAGAGTTTGAAAAATCAGTTTGGTCGACCTAAAAAAAAGGTCGGCAAAAGTTTTGAATTTTTTTTTGAAAATCTGCCCCCCCCCCTCGAGAAATCCCTAGATCCGCCCCTGCCTAAAGTTGTTCTCTTATCTGAATTAATATGAGTTTCAAATGAATTTTAGCAGCCAAAAAATATTAGCCTTTTTTTGTTCGAGCTAACATAAGTCTGTTGTTTGTTTCTGGGTTACAAAGATATGATAGTTTATGAAACAAATGTGCACAATGACAGAGAGAAATATCTCAGCAAACAATAATTAAACATTTTCATGTCAACTTGGAATTGATGAAAGACGCAAAGCGAAGTTTTACTTTTCAATTATAAAAACACTACGAATCACGCCACACGGAGAAACAAAAATCTAACCATTTGATGCACAGATGGGTAGAAAACTAAACAACCCACCTTCAAGTTTAGCAACAAGTAGCTCTCCTAATAATTTGAATCGAGAAAAAGCATGTTTACATCGGAAAAATCTCACAAAACCGCCACTACTAGCCGAAAATCTGCGCTGTTTGTAGAAACGGTCGGAGGATAAAGTCGCGATAAAACGACGCCCGACAGAACCTCCAACTCTTCAATCGGCAGATTCAACACTCTCATCAATCCAACAACATCAAGCACCAGGTGAGGAAACCCAACGAGCAATAGCATTAGATAAGAATAAATTAAGCGCAAGATACAAGGGAGTGTAGAAAACGGTAGTGGTATGTATGTATGTATGTATGTATGAATGTATGTATTTATGTTTGTATGTGTATTTGTAGGAATATATGTATATGTGTATGTATGTATGTAAGTGTGTGGATGTATGTATGCATGAGTGTATGAAGTCATACCGTTTCAACCCTTGTCTGGAAAGTTGCGCCGTATCCACCTCGGTCACGAGTAAAACATTCTTGGTCGCGCCGTCTCCGCCTTGGTCTTGAAAGTCGCGCCGTCTCCGCCTTGGTTGCTAAAGATGTACCGTTTCCACCTTGGTCTGGAAAGTTGCGCCATCTCCGCCTTGGTTGCAAAAGTTAAGCCGTCCCCGCCTCGGTCTAGAGAAGCGCGTCCTCGCTTTAGTCGCGAAAGTCGCGCCTATCCGCCGTTTGTAGTGAGCTCCAGCATGGCAGCCCATTTACCCATATTGACCTAAAAATATTCCCCCTCCCTCCTATCAACGATTTTTCGTTTGTTTTTCGATCTTAGAACATTCGTATTTGGCAAACCAACATTAATACTTTCAGCATTTTTTGCCACTGATTTCGAGATAAATGCGCTTGTAATTCTTTATCTGACGTTGCATGTAACTCAGTAGCGGATTTAGGGGAGTGGGGGTGCGCTGGGACGCTTCTTTATCAGAGATTTGACACCCTGTCGACCCAAAAGGTCCCCTTTGTACTATTTTGAAATATCCATTTTTGGTGACGGAACCTAAAAATGTTCTAAAGGGGCCTTCGGAGCCAATATACAATAACTTTTTGGAGGGAGCGCGTTCGCGGAAAAAACGCAATTTTTTGGCCAACCTTTTCCAAAAAGTGCCTGAAAACGCTTTTTTTGGCCTGTTTTTTCAAAATGTTGCCTGCGGCGCAGAAACTTTGGCCAAAACAGAAACTTTTAAATGCTTTGGTAGAGTTTGAAAAATCAGTTTGGTCGCCCAAAAAAAATGTCGGCAAATTTTTTGTTAAATTTTTGAAAATCGGCCCCCCCTCGAGAAATCCCCAGATCGCCCCTGCCTAAAGTTGTTAGTTATAATAATATAACTCTAATTAATATGACTAATTAGTTATAATAACATGACTCTGAGTTTCAAATGAATTTTAGCAGCCAAAAGATATTAGCATTTTTTTTTGTTCGAATTATCATAAATCTGTTGTTTGTTTCTCTCTTACAGAGATATGATAGTTTATGAAACAAAAGATGCACGATGACAGAGAAAATTATCTGAGCAAACAATAATTAACAATGTTCATGTCAACTTCAATTTGGAATTGATGAAAGACGCAAAGCGAAGTTATACTTTTCAATTATAAAAACACTACGAATCACGCCACACGGAGAAACAAAAATTCAACCATTTGGTGCACAGATCGGTAGAAAACCAAACAATCCATCTTCAAGTTTCGCAACAAGTAACTCACCTAATTATTTGAATCAAGAAAGTGCAAAACACGCATGTTTACATCGGAAAAATCTCACAAAATCGCCACTACTAGCCGAAAATCTGCACTGTTTGCAGATACGGTCGGAGGATAAAATCGCGATAAAACAATGCCCGACACAACCTCCAACTCGTCAATCGGCAGATTCAACTCTCTCATCAATCCGACAACATCAAGCACCAGGTGGGGAAACCCAACTGGCAACATCATTAGATAAGAACAAGTTAAGCGTAAGATTTAAGGGAGTGTGGAAAACGGTACTTATATGTATGTATGAATGTATGAATGTATGTATTAATGTTTGTATGTGTGTTTGTAATAATATATGTATATGTGTATGTATGTATGTAAAAGTGTTTATGTATGTATGCATGAGTGTATGAAGTCATGCCGTCTCAACCCTGGTCTGGAAAGTTGCGCCGTATCCACCTCGGTCACGAGTAAAACAAACTTGTTCGCGCCGTCTCCACCTTGATCTGGAATGTTGCGCCATCTCCGCATTGGTTGCGAA